GTTTATATACAGTAGTTTGCCCGTCAGTGTTGGACAAGTTGGACAAAACACAGACAGGGCAAGCCACTGTATATAGACAGAGAGCAAACCCCACTCCCTTCTAGCACTGAAGATGTTACGTAGCCAGATAATGAGACATCTGCAAGAAAACAACCAAGCTCGGAGAACCCCAAGGACTCTACAGTTCAACCCTGAGCTACATACATTCTCTTCTATTGATATAATAAATGTATATTTATGTCAATATTGAAGTTGTCAAATAATACATTATGGTAATTATAAAATGTTGAACACCCTGCTTCCAGTAATTGATAATGGATGAAAATATGGTAGATAAAGAGAAAAGAAACCAAAGAAAGATTTCTATAAGAAAGCAATTAGTTAATAGTACATTCAAGTGGCATCCTGCTGTGACACTCATATATGTATATTTCAAGCAGATTTCAAGATTTAACATACCACCAAAAACAAATTTATTTTAACGAAGAAAAAGTACTGTTTGAAATGTTTACTAATTTCATGGGGATGCTTTTCATTCCCTCCCCCCCCAAAAAAGGTGGGGGAAGGACCATAAGTGTAATATACAAATGTTGGCTAATTAGGATTCTGTCTTAATTGATACCAGGAATAAAACTGGAGAAATAAAAAAATGTACAAGAGAGAAAACAGCTAAATATATCTTTGGGTGAAACACCTGACATTTGGGCAATTGTTTAATATAGTCTACCTACTTCCAGTGCTATAAGAAATGAGTGACAAAAGTAATTTGGCTCTGTTGTGTTTGCTTGAATGAGAGAGCTATCTGGAAATATTCATATGGATAATCTGTGCAGATGACTATAATACAGCTACGTTTGCTTGCTATTTTCTCCCTGTGATAAAGGAAGGGGCATACTGAGTTTCTTGAGAAAGCAAGGTCCCCAGAATGAGGTCTTCTCTATATACCCTTGTGGTCAATTTGCCAGAAAAAAAAGTAACAAATGCCTAGGAAGTAGACTGTTGGCCATAACAACAACATATAGAAATAGTAAAGCATTACACTTTTTCTCTTTCAGATTGTAAAATTGATTAAATGGTCAAAGGAGCACCCCATCACGTTAGCAATTGGTGATGGAGCAAATGATGTCAGTATGATATTGGAAGCACATGTTGGCATAGGTAAGTAGACAGGCTCCATCTGAAGTAAGCAAACGTCTTCATTTTCATTCACTAAAAACAGTGACATTGAATCACTAGTCAAACTGTGCTGGGTCTGTCCTTATTTATTTCTTTAGTAATCAAATTTATACGCCACCCATCTCACTGTATAAGTGACTCTAGGCAGCTTACAGGTAAGAAGAACTATAAAATCTTTACAAAAATATACAAAGCTAAAAGCTAAAAAAGTTAAAGCTAAAAACTAAAAAGATTAAAACTAAAAAGGAGGAGAGAGCATCCTCAAGGTACCAGCCACCCACAGTACTGCGTACCCCTGTTGGGTCCCCATGCAAGTTGGCAGAGCCGGGTCTCCTTAACAGCCTGTTTCTCAAAATTGTAATAAAAGGTAAACCACAAGGAAATTCATGTATAAATTTTACAACTTGATTTCACAGCCTCACACATACTTTGTTTCACCAGCTTCCACCACTTTTTCTCCGTAGGCGTTATTGGAAAAGAAGGTCGTCAAGCTGCAAGAAACAGTGACTATGCAATACCCAAATTTAAACATTTGAAAAAAATGTTACTTATTCATGGGCATTTTTATTATGTCAGGATATCTGAACTGGTGCAATACTTCTTTTATAAGGTACGGGGAGGAAATATTTTGTCTTTTTTTAAAAAGTTTAAAGCACTCAATGATATAGAGTATCTTTTTGCACTAGTAGGAGTGCATTTCTTCAAATTACTGGGAAGAGTTCCTGATATTTTGATGCTTTCTGAGGTATCAGGAGCCCCTATCTCCATGTTAATGGAAGGACTTTCTACTCATGTAGTGTGATTTTGGATCCAGGCCGTGTTGACAGGATTTCCCCTTTCCTGCCCTTGTACCAAATAACTTAAGCTTATTTCTTACGACTCTGTTCATAACATCTCACTCAGGCAAACATTTTTTGAAAATGCAAAACTGGTTTGTGCCCCAGCGCCAAGGAGGTCTGCTGGCTTATTACCTTGCGGTATCTTTGATCCCATATTTGGTAGCAGAGAGTGTGCTTCGCTGTCTGCATTGATTTGCTGGCATAACAATCGTTGAATGGATAGCAAAGGGGGAAAAAATCCTGCAGTCCTAAAGCCGCTTACTGCTGGAATATCCATTAATATAGTAAATAAAGAAGCAAGTTATTCGATGGCTGCAATATTTATCAGGTTCCTATTTCAGCTGACCAAGCTGAATAGAAGAGAAATGTTTGTATGTTAACACTGGTTGCCCAGATCATAATAATACCTTTAATTGGTATTTTTATACGCTTTCAGCAACAAAATCCATAGCTTTGTAATCCCGCACTTTAAAATGCCAACTTCTGGTATTTTAGATCAGCATATCCACAAAGGCTTCAGGGTACATGGCATATCTTGGACCAATTTATTTTGTTCTCCCCCCCCCCCTTTGATATACTGATTAATGCACTAATACACTGATTGAATAAAATACCATTCAGCTAGTGCATCTGAAATGACTTCATACAGGAGATAGTAAATAATGGACAAAATAAGTGTGACTCAAAGGCACATTTTCCCCACATTTTCCCCAAGCCATTATTTTTAAGTTCCAATTTGAATTCAGATTTGATATCCATTTGAACTAGCAGCAACTGAATGACAAAAATATACTTGATTCTTTATTATCCTGCTTCTCCTGTCAATAGGGGCACATTCTAAGCATTAGGTAGCGTATTAGAAGCATACTAATTCTATATCAGTTTCTATATCATTTATCTTCCTTTCCCCTTCCCCATACTATTGTTCAGGTTCTTTCACAGCCTTTACCTTGGATAAAGGATAGGTGCTTTTGTCTTTCTTTTCAGGGGGGAATTGATCCCTATCAGGACCCTGGCAGCATTCACAAACCCAAAAAGCTACATTTTCACAGAATCCTATTAACCAGATACTATATATTGAAATGTAAAGGGGGCAAGTGTCCTAGATTTGACTACTGGCTACATATACTTTGACACCCTATTTATCTCTGAGTTCCTTAGGGCAGAGTTTTTGATCCTCTTGCTAACTGACCCTTGATGCAATGGGGAGGTCGCTGCCCATTTTCCTGATAAAGAAAGAATGTGAAGATGTTCCAAGCCTGCATTATTCTGCAAACCACCATTCTCTCTCCCAAGTCCCCAGAAGTCCATTGCAATACCCAGAATTTTTGGGGAAAAAAATTAATACTGTAATGGCAGGGCTGAACCCATGAGGTAAAATGTTGGAAGCCTCAAACTTCCTTTCCATCCACCTACTGGCTCTTCTTACACTGGCACTTCCTTCCCACCTTCCTACTAGTGTAACTAGTAGCTTTTATTGTCATTGCCTGTCTTCCAGTGGGATACCTTTACGTGGTGTCTCCCGACAATCCCAGCGTACAAAACGTAAAGGTATCCTACAGCCTGTACACCTTACTGGCAAGTAGCAGAAGCTGGAAAAATCAAAGCTGCTGCTAAAAATGGAATACATTCTGTGGCACCACCTGCTATCCTGTAGCATGAAGCACGTGACTGGGGAAATCATCCCCCTCTACTTTGAGAGAGAGATCAGTTTCGCAGTGTACAGACAAATTTAACTTGTTTTTAAAAGAGAAAAAAAGTACCTCCTCTTTAGTTGCGTGCAAAACAATTAGTAGTGGAGGAGATAAAATAAAGAGCTGTGAAAAACCACAGACAGTATCTCAAGTGAATCTCTAATGGAAAAAAAGCACAAGAAAGTTTTAAGATTCTGAGCAAATGTCTTTATGATGGCATTACTTTATTACTTAGGAACGTACACTGAGCTCGCACTGTGTAAATAGACATTAAACGCTATCTACCTACTTACCAACCTACCAACCAGGGTCTGCCATCTGTGTGACATTCAGCTGACAGTCTGGAGCAAGAAATGCATCTTTATACTATTTCTTAGATATTAGTTCTGTCCAGTGTATGAGAATTCGTATATTATGGAAAAATGGTGTTTAAATGGATTTTAATGTAATGTTTTATTAAAAACTAGCATTTATATTTGTTCAAATGTAAATATTTGATTGTGTTGCTACCCCTTTGTTTATTTGGTGTGATCATTTTGTGCAATATCTATTGCTCTTGTCTTCCAGAATGTCTGCTTCATTTTTCCTCAGTTTTTATACCAGTTCTTCTGTGGGTTTTCACAACAGGTATCTGATAACATCTTTATTTTATAAACCAATTTGAGTTTTGTTTTTACAGCATTTTATTTATTTCAGTCAGTTTTTCTTCTGTAGTGCAGAGTTGAATGGGAACAGTTAACTTTTTTCCAGTTGGAGCTTTTTGGATAATCCAAATTGCAATAATTCTGTGTAGCAGTGGATGGATATCAATGGAACCTAATGTGAGCTTGGGAAGATGACATGGTAGACAATCAGAACTTTTTAATTCTTTTTCTGATGAAAGATCAGAAGGGAACATGTAGGCAGCTGAAGCTCTTAAATTGGTTGCTATTACTTCCTAGAATTTAATGTGTGAACAAATCTTCCAGTCTACTCTTTTACCTGTGTTTTTCATTTCTTGATTCCTTGTAAACAATGTTATCTTCGCTACTTAATGTACTGTATGCAAATTTGCAGTGAAGGTCATAGATTGTTGAGCTTATGCACAACTGAAAGTTAACAAATCTTTAGCATTTTTTATTTTTGTAAGGTAGACTTGTCAGCAGTACTGCAAGACTACTCATGCTTCTTTTTTTCCCCCAGTCATCACAAACCATTGTTCCTTGTTACTCATTTGTGTGAGATAAGAAGCCGCAATTCAGAATGACTTAGTGGGTTTTTGTTATCAGGTAGTGATTGCTGCACGAAACACATAAGAACCAAATTTAAGCTTGAACCAGCCAAAGCTAAGCATTTTACAGTCATATTTGTTTTAAAGGGCAAGAAATATGTTATTTAATAATTTCTGTTGTAATGGGAATGCTTTTCTTTAATTGGTTTATGCTATTTGTATATGCATTTATTATTTGTCCATAGTCAATTCAATCTTTTTTCTAATTAGGAGTGGCATACAAATTAGAGTTAGATAAATTGAAGAATGTGATTACAGTGAATTTGGATAACTAGATTAATACTGCACATAATATTCATTAGCTAGGATAGTAGTAATATAATATTTGCTAAAATTTGGTGATTTCCAGAGTTTCTTTTATTTGCCCTTATAATTCTTTATTATGACACTATTTTACTAAAAAATATCTTTTTTTTTTCTATTTGCAGCCTTTATACGATACTGCGTATCTTACTCTGTATAATATCAGCTTTACTTCACTTCCTATTTTGTTATATAGTCTAATGGAACAACATGTCAGTTCTGAGACACTCAAGAGGAACCCTATATTGTACAGGTAAATAAATGGCCATGGTTTGAACAGACAAATGAGACCAGTTAATTCATCTTCCATTTCGGAAGGATAGGTGAGCAATGAGGTGTTGGAGCAAGGCATGTTATGTTAGTGAAATTTACCATATGCCTATGTTATATATTCCTTTGCAGGAAAACAAGTAACACAGGAACTTTGTGTAGGATTTATTAATCTGCACATACAGTAGAGTCTTGTTTAACTGACCTTCGCTTATCCGACATTCTGTCTTATCCGACGCCCCTAAAAAAAAATAACACGCATAAATTGGCGATGAGAAAAGTGTGCCACTTGTTTGTGAGCGTGAGTTGCTCCTGACGGTGCGGCGCTGCAACGCAAAAATCGATTGCAACAGGCGCAGTGGATCAGGTTTTTTTTTTTTTTTATCACAATCAATCATTACTGTGTGTTATCTGACATTTTCGCTTATCCGATGTTCTGCCGGCCCGTTTATGTCAGATAAGTGAGACTCTACTGTATAGCTAAAAGTTACAGCCCATATTTGATAGCCACCATAGGAGTAATAATTATTGTTTCAGATCAACAACTGAGTTCAAACTTTTGCTTAAACACAAAGCATACTTGTAGCCTAGGCATAGTCACAGTTTCTCAGCTAAACTCTGCATCACAGGATTTATCAATGGAATCACTGATGACTATATAATTTCAGTAATATAATTAATATTCATAAAAATCACTTCTGAACAAATGTCCAAGTGTATATGTTATATTTAATCTGTAGTTATTTCAAAAAGCAGCTTCTTGAAATGAAACAATTTTCTGGGATCTTCTAGTGTTGTTTTTATTACTTTTGTGTGTACCTTTGAGTCAGTGTTGACTCGGGGTGACTGCCTAGACTAGTCCCTGCAGTTTCCTTGGCAAGATTTTGGAAGTGGTTTGCATTGCTTCCTTCCCAGAGCTGAGAGAGAGGGACTGGCCCAAGGTCACCCAACTGGTTTTTGTGCCTAAGCAAGACTAGAACTCACGGTCTCACAGTTTCTAGCCTGGTGCCTTACCACTGCACTAAACTGGCTCTCTTAAAATGAAGTAAATCATGTATTGGATGTATTTGAGTCTTCATATATGAAAGAATTTAGGATAGCCTTGTTCAGCTTGGAGCCCTGCAGATACTTCAATTCCCTTAATTCCCTCCAGAAGAGAATTATGAAAGTTGAATTCAAACACTCCTGGTCGAAATCCTGGTTTAAGGTACAATGAGAACATATGAGAACATATATATATAGACTGAAACGTCAGCCTCGGAATACAGGGCAATACATTGGACATGCTGGCTGGGGAATTCTGGGAGTTCTGGAGTCCAGCAACATCTTAAAGTTGCCATGTTTAAAAAACACTGCTCTAGATGAATCCCCTAAAAACATTACAGCATTCCTTTTTGTCACAAAAACATTTTTCTTTATTTTAAAATCTAAAAAATGAGTATCTGTGTCATTATTCAGGGATGTTGCCAAGAATGCTCACCTGCGATGGCGTGTATTCATTTACTGGACATTGTTGGGAGTTTTTGATGCGGTGGTCTTTTTCTTTGGTGCCTATTTCTTGTTTGACAATTCAACTATGACCAGCAATGGACAGGTTTGTATCTAAACCCTAGGAAGCTGTTTCAGAGTGAATAATTCAATTGGCTTCTCTTGGGGTACTATCTACACTGACAAGTACTCTCTAAGGATCCAGGCAGGATGTTTTTTAGCCATATCTAGAGAAATTACAGAATTGAAACTGATCCATCTGTATGCTAAAGCATGTGTTCTTCCACTGAGCCACAGTTTCTGCAGATTGATTAAAGTATCCTTTAAAAACCAAGAAGCTAAATATGATTATGTGTTTTCTTCCTCATTAAATATAATTCTAAGTTTCGTAATTCTGCTCTAGTTATTATAATAGGTAAGTTTTAAAATGGGAAGCTGGTAGGAGTGATAACATTTGAACTCTTTACATAGACTTCAGAGTGCAATTTACCCTTAAAGCCTTGGGACTGCATTTCCTGAAGGATATCCTACTCTGATGTATCCCTGATATTCTTCTTCAGAAGCTCAGCTCTAAGTGTACTCAAATCAGGCCTATTTAATCCAGAACACCAGGAACCATTTATATTTCACAGTATCTCCAGCATGGCCAGATTGGCATGGTCCAGAGGAGAAACAGAACATTCCAGAATTCTCTAAAACATTCCATTCTCAGAACAGTAGGCTTTGTAGTTCCCTGTTCCCTGTTTAGCTCCATAAAGGCCTTGCCAAATGAGAGAAGGCAGGTGGCTTCCAGACAGAGATGATGATGATGATGATGATGATGATGATGATGATGATGATGAGTGAAATAAGGCTCCATCAGTTGACTATATTTGTCCAAGATAATTAATCAGAACTCTATCAAATCCTAGACTGGATTCTAGGTATGAAAGCCACAAAAAGCTATGGCTTCCTAGTTTTGTCCCATGAAGAAAGGAATGAATTGTCTTCATTCACATGTACACAGAAAGCCAGGAATCCTAGATTATCATTATATGTAAACATCTTTGCTATTTTTTTAATCCTTTAAAACTAATTTGTCTCTGGGAAAACAAAGTGTAATTTATATGTCTAAAAGTATCTTAATAGAGAGCTTAGATACTGGCTACCTTCTGTTAAGGGTTATTGATAAAACATTAGAAGAAACTATAGGAATTACTGGGGGTTTCATTCACTTGAAACATTTATTTGGTGAACTACACAACTTTAGTTAAGCTATTTTTAATATGTGATGTATTATAACTTCCACTTTAAAAATAGATATTTTATGGTTAAGTACCATAATTAATTTGAAAAGAACAAAGTACACCCATTTCAATAAAACTCTATTTGTACTTTTTGTTAAGTGACACTAAACATAATTTTAAAGTCCTTCTGCTTTTATTTGCACATTAATATTTTTGCAGTTTGTTTTATTTGTGTCTTGCTTTTTTTTCTTTTCTTCCTTCTTCTCTTTCTGTCTTCAGCTAATGACAGTCAACACTCACATGGTAAGACTGCTGTGGTTTTGTCATGATGTGGTTTTTCTCTATCGCAATTCAGATATTTCTAGGGAAAAAAAAATCACATTTCTTCTTTTTTGCCTCCGATATGCTATGCCAAAATAATAGAATGCTGCTCTTAATTTACTTTTTAAAAATAAAGAAGAAATATATGGGATTTTTAAAAAATCTTGCTGCTTTTTCTTAATTTACTTTGTTTCTGCTCAGCTAATTTTCATGTTCCTATAATTTAATAAAATTAGAATAATTACTGTTAACTAATACACACACACACACGTACACTATTTGGCTGAACTTCATTTAGGTAAGTTAGCTAGGAAAATAAGATAGGTAGCTTGGGGGAAAAAATTAAGCAATTAATAAAAACATGAGAAACATAAAGCAACAGTGTACATCACCAATACAAATGAATTAAAATAACTTGCGCATCGTGAAGTCAAACCGTTTGAAATGCAACTTTTGAAGCTCTGTTATTTAAGACCATGCTTTTTTAGGGGCTTCTGTTCCAATGACTGATAGTGTGGGTCTGTTCCATAATGCCAACTGTATGAACCTGCCTCAATGCCAGTGTTTTTCAGCCTTGACAACTTTCAGATGTGTGGACTTCAACTCCCAGAATTCCCTTGCTGGCTGGGGAATTCTGGGAGTTGAAGT